GACAACGCTCTGCATAACTATAGGTGTTTTGTGTAAATTCTACTCAAAATCAATAATAAAGAAATATTATATTATTCTACAATTATTATATTTTTATAAATATAATGATGTGAATATTATGTGTACTTACTGTAGGACGTGCTATGTGTATTATATTAGGAGTGTGCATTGTGTGTGTGTTATGTTAGTTTATAGATTTGTATGTATGTTGCGTATGTATAGTATGGTGTATGTGTAGTGTTGTGTGTGTAGTGTAGTGTATGTATAGTGTAGTGTATGTGGAGTGTAGTATGGTATGTATGGTGCTTGTATTCATATTTTATTTTATTGTAAAATCACTTCATGAATTAACCAAAGCCTCAACTTCGTAGTAGTCTAAGTCTTGTAACCATTTTTTCATTGTAGATTTGCAATCTGAGAATGTTTTTTTATATAGATCAAGCTTTTTATTTATTTTATTATAGAGATGGGAAGATCGGAAATCAAATTGCATTTGAGCAAACTTTGTTCTGAGTTTGGGAATGGCTGCTACTTTGAACTGACGAGCTCGTCTTTTATCTTTAACGCGAGGGTCGTATGTCAATGTTTTGTGTTTTTTTAATATTAACCCCAGGATATAAAGTTTTCTCACAGATAACAATTTGCTAGTATGGTAGATACCCTGGGTTGAAAAAGTTCTTTTTTTAAAATACATTATTTTGAGTAATGCTCTTTGAGCTCTTTCGATCATCAGAAAACGCGTTTTATGGGCACCACCCCAGACTGAGATACAATATGTTGTTACCGACTGAACCAGAGAAATGTATATTTCATTCAGTAAATTCCTAGTGGTATGGGCGTTATTTTCCAGATTTGTAGGAACAATGTGTCTCAGTGTCCGGAAGATCCAATTAAATTTACGTATCCTTGATACAGTCATTTCTATCTGTGGATACCATGAAAGCCTATGGTCCACCATCACTCCCAAATATTTTACAGACTCTACTTTGTTTATTGAGGGACAATTGCAGTTATGACTGTTTATCTCATTACAAGTATGTATTTTTATATTAAAGTCTTGATTGGGTTGAGAGTTATTGTTTGAATCTTTATGTTACCACCCCAAACCTACCTTGATGTTACCACTAAAAACCAACCTTGATGTTACCACTGAAGGTAGGCAGTACATTGAGACCATATTCTTCATGTCTAGTGTAAAATAATATTCCCTACAAAATACAGGTTACAATATAGGAAACCTAAAAAGACCTTAAACCGTCAGCCCACCTTAAAAACATGAAAGAATACAACTGTTGGTCTATTTGTACTTATAATATTTAAAGAATTATCCTACAACTCCTAAGCATTAAGGAGTTGTACCTACCTACCTACCATGACCAGTTTTTCTTCAAATTCGCATGAAACCACCCTTTTGATAATACCTATTCAACAAAAAAATAATCGTTCAAATTGGTTCATAATCGGCGGAGATATTACGTATAAAAAAGTTCATCCCCAATTTTCCACCCTTGGGGGTGAAATATTTTCTTCAAATTCGCATGAAACGACCCTTTTGATAATACCTATTCAACAAAAAAATAATCGTTCAAATTGGTTTATAATCGGCGGAGATATTGCGTATAAAAAAGTTCATCCCCAATTTTCCACCCTTGGGGGTTGTTTTTTTTATTATTAAATTTAAATGGAACCACCCTTGAGGTAAAAAAAAAAAAAAAAAAACATACGGGTCGAATTGAGAACCTCCTCCTTTTTTTGAAGTCGGTTGAAAATAAAACATATTTACCTCAATCTTGGGTTTTCATTTTACTGTGTAGATATTTTTGCATTTTAAGTTATAAGGTTCTTGTTAATATTTTTAAGGGATGAGTATCTACAATTCATTGTAATAAACCTCAGATCCTTAAAATCCTTACATAATTGGTTTTAGTTGTATTAAGGGTGAGGAGGTTGTTTTTCAGCCATGATGCGACCTTCATTAAGAGCGTTTACGCGAAGCGCGGCGTTTCAAGGGGCAACATTGGAAATGATTCGCGCGCGGCGTTTTTTAATAGTTTTCAAACGTTTATAGCAAAANGGATTGGACTGTCGGTGGAATATTATATTCAGTGCTGTTTTATTTATATTTATGGTCTCTCCATGTCATCCTACGGTCCAGGATGTTAATGCAGGTTGATTGCAGCAATGTGTCGAGGTCTAGATTGGCCGGAGGATAAGTTTCACGTCTTAAATGATAATAAGGTGAGACTTCGGGGCTTGATTACATGCGCCACTTGGTCAGCCAAGCAGCTGACTTTGCAACAGTCTTTAAGATCACAGTTACATTTGAGGAAGGCCGCAGCTTTCTGGTGTCTGGGCTACTTTACTAGTAGATGTTATAGAGTATCGGACCAAGTATAGAGTCCTGCTGGGGTACTCCAGCTCTGCAGCTAAAAAGAGAAGATTTTGTAACCGAGTTTGATTTAAAACTGTCTGTCACTGAGATAAGAATCCATCAGCAGGTAGTAGAAGTCTGCTAAAAGGTACTTTTTAATTTAACAGAGTAGTTAGTCCTTTATGATAAACCCAGCTGAAGCCGCAGCGAAAGCAGACGTACAGGATTCTTTCTTTTCCCAACATTGTACTGATTTTGGTTGGTCTGGTTTCTACTAATTTATGTTCGGGTATACTATATTACATGGGTCATACTTAGGCAATATACGAGCAAGAATGATCCTTTTCCATAATTTTAACAATACAAATGTCATCATCAATATGGATCAATCTTCTACTTTGAACTTGAGGAGGGTAAGCGGAAACATGGCGGTCAACTCCTCAGATAGTCAAGTACAAGGATCTCCAGAAGCAGCATACGAAAAGATACTAAATGAGCCCTCTCAAATCACAATGGGAAGGTTTGGCAGCACAGCACCTAGAATGGCGGGAGATTGTGTTGTGTAGAGGCGAGTCCGCGAATTCAACGAGCAGCGCACAACTGAACTCTACGCAAAACGCGATGATGTAAATCCCGTCCATCTGCCGCCATTCACTATAATTATGTTGGCAGTGGGTAATTACTCTCAATGTGCGAGGAGTTTGCCGCGAAGATCGGCTATGTAAGCCATCTTCGGGCGCACCAGCGCCGCTAAGACAGCTAAGTCGAAGTGGTCACCATGACCGAAATCGGTCGGATGAACCATCATCATCAGTAGGAATCAAAGGCAGGCATAGCTGCAAGTCTCAGATCAAATCCAATGCTTGATCTTATTTTTTTGATTGAATTGTGGATTTTTTGGATTATCCGTGTAAACCGGCTTGTCATGTAGCAAAGGTCTGAGATTTTTCTTGTCAGTTCGCACTCATGTGTTACCGGACCTAATAAGCGGAGAACACTTTGAGGGAGGTACTTGGTTGCCTTCCAGAGGTTGTGGTTCCCATTTGCATTCCGAGACATATTTGCCAATCTCTGTGTGAGTGATTCGCTTAAAGTATAGTCCAATAGTGTGGTTTGTCTGCCAGACGAAGGCGGGGATTTTTTTCTTAACAGCAAGAGGGACCGGCGCCTCTCAATTATTTACTAGACCAAGCAGCAACTTGAATAATGTACTTGATTAATTGTTAATATAGTTAGTGTTAAGTTATTCAATCAATTTATTAGTATATCAACGGAATTAAGTTCGCCTTGTGTACCAATTTATAGGCATTAAAGAATAAATAGTATAGTTAGTTCTTCTGTTATATGGTTACTGATGGTTCAAAAATGGGCCTTTTTGGCGTGTATGGGGAGCAGCCGAAGCTTAGGCTATCTCAAATCCTGGGTAAATTTGCCTCTATCTTTCAGGCAGAAGCATTATTGAATGTGCGGAAGCTAACCTGCGAAAAAGTTATGCCAACCACATCATTTACATTAACTCAGACAGTAAGGCCGCGCTGATGGCCTTAAACTCAAACTTAATGACCTCAAAGTTGGTAGAAAACTGCATGAGTCGACTAAATACCCTATAAAAACGTAACAGAGTAACGCTGAGATGGGTTCCAGGTCACGCGGGAATCGTGGACAATGAAAATGCCGACGAACTGGCCAGAACGGGTGCGGAGGGAACACAATATGGTCCAGAACCCTTTTGTGGCATTCCCAAAAGTCTCGCTCGAATGACCTTGGAGAACATCTATCTAAACAAATCCTTTAAGGCATAGTCAGACACGCCAGAATTAACTCATTCCAAACTATCCGAATCCTAGCACTGTCCGAATCAAGAACGTGCAGGATGTGCCAAGAGGCAGATGAAACGCCACTACACATTCTCACGGCCTGCGGACCTTTGATGCACAAGCGGAGCTTACACCTGGGCAAACAAATCCTAAGCCCACAAGATGTAAAACATATCGCCCCCCAAAATATACTGTAATTCCTAATAGATGCAGGACTCGGAGGCGAACTGTAAGGAAAATAGCGGCGATCACAATAGATCTGTCCGGTCGCAGTGATACTTACTAGGACTTTATTGAACTAGAATAGCCGCTTAAATCAATAAAAAAATAGTTCTTCTGCGTTCGAAACACAGTATAGGAGAGGAATAAATTGCAAATAGTTTGTACAGTATCAGTATCGGCGCGCCGACAGCTGGTCGTCGGCGGCGGCGGCGTGAAAAAATTCGCGGCGGCGGCGGCGCGCCGGCGTGGCGCCCACCTCTATACGATATACAAAATCTATTGAAGAAATGCGTTTAAACAACTCGTAATCAGGCTTTTGTTTTCTAATTGCATAGTATAAACAGCAGTTTTCTTATGCCTGTTTTCACCAACAATACCTAATTGTTAACTGACCCCTATGAAAACAGAATTCCTATTAAATGTTACCATAGGGGTCGTTAAAAAATAGGGATTGATGGTGAAAACGGGCATTAGATTTTTAGGTTTACGTACCTAAAAAAGAAATAGCGAAAACCTTACACCTAGGATCACTTTGTTGTCTGTCTGTCTGTTAATACCGTTTCTTTATTAGTTTTTTGAACTTGTTCCAGTGGAGGACGCGAGCGGGCGCTACACGTCGATGTTCTACTGGGGCAACAACTACTGGACCGGCTCCGCGGAGCTGTGCCAGATCCTCAACCAGCAACATGCGCCCGCGCCCAGGCACAACAGTGAGTAAATTTATTTTATTTTATTTATTTATTTAATAGAACAACCAACAAGACTTACACTAGAAGACAATCAATATTTACAACGTATTTAAACTTACTCTAAGTGCTGCCTTAATTATAGGTTGCCACGGCATGCAATAGTGGACTTATACATTTAAACAGTGTCTACACTAAAAGAAAAGTTTCTTCAGCGAGTATTATTTAGCTGGAATAACATTTCGTCAGCGACTTGAAGCGAAGCTGTTTAGGATTTTGCGCTTAAATGAAGGTAGCTTGTCCCGAAAGAAATCAAAATCCAGATCGAGGTTTCTTGAGATACTGTTAAACTGTTATTACCTTTCTTTTCTTACACTGATTACTGGTTTTAAGATTACGTTTAGATTTTAGAACATTTATCTAATACCTCACAAAAGTAAGATATGTATGGTACAAATCTACGACCTTTTGCTTGTTGAACGACTGCTCTGGCTGAACGTTGTTGCACTGAACCAAATCGTGTACCGATTTGGTAATTCTGTCAATTAGTAGGTACCTAATGTAAGTCAATTTCTTAATGTAGTTAAAAAGTACTTATAAATGTTGCATATTCTATACATAATATATGAACAAGAGCATAACTAAATAAAGCTTTTAATAAGTTTATAAATAGCTTTAGTGCATTGTAGCAAATTACTGATGCAATATAAAGTGCAATGGCGACTTGAATTACTAAGTGCTGGGCGATCAAGGACATTGTTAATTAAATTCAAAGTTCTAATGTTCAAATAGTATCACTATCTAATTATTGTAGGTACCTATAAATATACGAAATGCGACTAAAAATTTTACGTACCTTGCTACATCAATCTTCTAGGTAGGCCCATCTCCACCCGAACCACTGCCACATTGTAACACCGTCACTAATAAATAACAATAAAGAATACATTTTAGTTTCTTGTCAGTTAAGTATTCTATAAATTCTGAACTCAAAAACTAATAATAATTCACAGCGCGTACTGACTGAGTAACAACGCACCCAACAATGACCGATTTGGCAACTGGAGAATGCATAAAACCGAACTACCCTCAAGTTTATAAATAAAAATATTCTTGCCACCAACACTAGGTACTACCAACATTCAAGTATTAACATATTACTCATTTTTAATTTAAAAAGTTACAACCTAACTACCTACATTTAATGAAAACTCATTCTTATTTACGATTGATTTGCAATAACTAAATTAAGATCATCAAGTCATCATCACACATATTGAACAACACGCTCTAATAATCGGCGAAACCGTCACTTCTCAAGGCTAGGCACAGTTAATACAAATATCATAATACACCAACATAATGATAGTAATCAAGCTCTGTGTTAACTGATGGAGGCGTTGATATTCGTATCGGTTGCAATATGAGTGATTAATGAGTTTGGTGTTCTTAATTATTCGTTTAGTTATAATGTCTAAGCAATTTAGCATGAATGGGAGGATCTAGCTAAGCTACGAGTATGTCGTTCTTTTCGTGTCTTGTAAAATGTTAGCTGCTTTCGCCATTTTTCACATCGCATTACGGACTTTAAAGGTACACAGTATTGAATGAAAATGACGTCAATATTATTTCATTTTAGTCTAGACAGAAAATAAGTTAACTTTTATAAATAACTTTCGATATGAATATTGAGCACTTAAAATCGAAAAATACACTTTATTTTTATTTTATTTATTTGGTCAACCAACAAGACAAACACGCATACAAGAAAATTAATTATTATAACTAAAAGTGCGTAATTTTTTTTTGTTTTCTGTTGCCCCAAACTATTATTACCACTGATATGAGATAATTAACACTACAAATAAGACTGACATGCGATTACGATATTCCCTGTTTCAGACCAGTCGTTTCGCGTTTCTAAAACATGCTATTTGAAGAGGTTTGTCAGGTAGCCAAGTATTTATCTGTTAACTGGACCCGAAAAACCAGGCTGGTCTTCCGGTGTCCCAACACCGTATTTATTTTCTAGCCATGCCCTAAGGTTGCCACATCACCGTAGAACATAGCATTTCACCCTCGCAACTCAAACTATGGCGACACCATTCGTCCCAAATGACGGTTATTTTATGTTGCCAACCATAAGTACCATAACATCGGAAACTGCACTATAGCATGCCACTACAGGTTCACTCCCTGTTTGTAGGTTGTATTACATACTAGCTTTTGCCCGCGGCTTCACCCGCGTGAAATTTAGTATGTCACATATCGTCATAAATTATAGCCTTTGTGTTATTCTGGGTTATAAATAATAATACTGTAAAGTTTCATCAAAATCCGTTCAGAAGTTTTTGCGTGAAAGAGTAACAAACATCCAGACATCCAAACTTTTGCATTTATAATATTAGTAGGACTAAAGTCCAATGAAGAATGGATACTTCAATCGATGAAAGATTTTAATGAAATTATTTTATCGCGTTAATGAATTCAATTCATATAATCTTCAAAGAGAAGTTTTGGAAAACAGCTAAAACTTTGTAAAAGCTTGAACTTTTAATTTTATAACTCCTTATAAATATGTGCTTAACCAACTAACAACATTTTATTTTAAAGTATAACACACACACACACACACACACACACTACAATAACAAATCCTAGTGTTCCTTTTCTGATTAGATTAATTAGGTTAATTAATAGTTAATACGTTGCCATACATCACTACCATGTCTGAGTCATAGTAATATACTATCGGTTCTTAAATTAATTCTAAATTGTGCCAATATCTGGGGTGGTGGGAGCCTGATGACCTGTACTACAGGTATGCAAATACCTATCACAGGCATCAGTCTCACACAAACAACTGTGTTTTATGAATTTGTAATGTGCTTAATAACTTGTGTCATTGTAATGTTTGTGATGAGAAAATAAAGACTATTTATTATAAAGTAAAGTAACGTTAATTTGGATAACTCAATTTTATCTCCACTCTGCAACTGATAACCAAATTGCAAAGTCAATTAACTACTTCGTTGTTTAAAGTAAGCTATACCATTTTTAAATATCGCAATCCTAATTAGCATATCTACACTATTTTATCTCCAAAATTTTTAAGGTGACTGGGAATAAACATTTTAGGATATTCTCAAATTGGAAAGTTCATATTATTTATCCTTGTAAAGAAGTAAAGATGATTAGTCTAGCGTTTTTAATCGGGGTTTCATCATCATCATCATCATCATTCAGCCATTGGACGTCCATTGCTGAACATAGGCCTCCCCCAATGCTTTCCATGTTGATCGATGGCTCCCCTTTATCTGGTAGAAACTTGTTACGCACAAATTCATTTGGCATAACTCACTTGGCATAACCTTCTTTAACCGAATACTTATAAGGCATAAACATTGTTAAATATAATCATCGTTTGGCAGAATGTTTATAAACCCGAATTTCAATGGCATACTTTTAAGATAGCAGAATTTTATCCCAACTAATAAATGCGAAAGTAACTCTGTCTGTCTGTCTGTCTGTCTGTCTGTCTGTTACGCTTTCCCGCTTAAACCTCGCAACCGATTTTGATGAAATTTGGCATAGAGATAGTTTGAGTCCCGGGAAAGAACATAGGATAGTTTTTATCCCGGTTTTTGAAACAGGGACGCGCGCGATAAAGTTTTTCTGTGACAGACAAAATTCCACGCGGGCGAAGCCGCGGGCGGAAAGATAGTTTGACATAATTTCGATTAGCATAATGTTTATTTAGCAACCTTATCGGGGTTTATTTAAATTATTTCCAATATTAAACCAAACGATTAGCCAACCAGCTGACAAGCACGGAATTCCCAGCGTTGGTAACTCGGCTAACAATACGCAAGCGTTGCGTGCCGGAGGCTGATGTAACGAGCCGGGGCTCCTGCACTGGGTCAAGGGGAGGCGCTGACCGCACGCGGATGCGGAGCTTTTGAGGCTTTTGACAGCGAAAATAGGCTACACTCTAGAAAAGGTCGAAGTCCATGACTAGTCCAAATGTTAGAATTTTAACCAACTACCTACGGATTTGAATCTATGTTAGAATTTCAGTTAGCAAAGCTATTTATCATTTATCATGTATTTGGATCAATCATGTGCTTGTTACTTGTTACACCTATATTTAGTGTGTAGATTAATAGTTGAAATATACCTAAGAACACCTTAAAGTTAGGGAAGTTAATAGATCAATGAACTTAATTTTTAGAACTTTAAACACCATTCAGTATTGCGTATACATCTTAACCAAGCATCTCGAAACCCAAATATTGGTATTTTATTGTTTGACTTACCTAAATCTATTCGAAAAAATGATATCACTATGTATTTTACGCTAGCACAATATTAATTTAATCGTAAGAATGAACCAACTGTAAATTCTTGAGTCGTAATTTGTAATCATAATTTTAAATAATGTACGTACGTAATAGGTAATACACAATATTAATGATATGCATCTTAAGGCTNCCTTAAGCATACGGGTAGTGCGGAACTTTCCACGAAATACCCTGCTGGCCTTGCTATCACAATTAGGCGGTGTCTACTTCAATAAACCTTCATTTATTGTACTTTATACCGACTCCGTTACTGGTATTGTCACAAACATTTTAATTGACATACATAGTAAGGTCTTTTTGAAGGTACAAACGTGACAGATTTATGTCATGGCACTCATTTAGGGCTTTATTGTCCTTTACAGCCTAAACCAATTGTGATTCAAAGACTTTGTAGTGTCTTTTATTAGATTCATATTGAAATATCGCCATATTGTCGCAATAAAACGATTGAAGTTTTAAAGTTGTGGTTATTTGCAACGACTTCGTATCAATAGACAGTTTGACACCATACCCCAATAATTCAAAACCACATTTTTTTTAAAAAAGACCTTTCATTCTGATCTTAAAAACTTAATTAATTTTAAATTACCTGTAAATTACGATTTTTGTTCGCATTGTAATTGAAAAAAGTAGTTTAATTGAGTTGAAAAAATAGTGACGTCACTTGCTTGTAGTGCCATCAAAATCTATGGGAGAGTTTCGTTTTGACAGTTTAAAAAAGTACGTCAATTGATTGGTGGTGTCAACATGTCTATTCAGCGCGTTGATGTCTTTTGTACTGAGCGTTGAAATCTGCGCGTGCGCGTAGCATTGTAACTAAAATAATTGCGTTGTTAACGGACTAGTAGGTGGGTGTTTATTGCAATTGACAAGATAATAAAGTTAAATAGGATAAAGTTTTCATCACCCAAGTTAATTCATTGTTATCGTTAATTTTATGGCCAAATAAGATGTAACATGAAGAAATAAATAGTAACTTACAGGTGGTCAGTTAACTCCTGGGGGTCTCCGCAATTTCACACTTGTAACTTTTAACACTGCACTAATTTAAGTATACTCGATATAAATATAACTTTGCACATAATATAGCCTAATCACGACCTTAACTACAGACATCCCGAAATAATACGAGTAATATCAAAAAGATTTAACAAAACATTTAACTTGTGACCAACACTACATCCAAATGACCTGCACTGACGAACGTTTTGACTTTTAATTATGAATTCAAAATAAAACCGAACTACCCTACCAATTTTTACAAAGTCTAACCACTTTTGACAGAACCATTTTTCTCAATAAATATTAGTTATGATTGAGATTTTTGTACTATGTTCTTATGCAATAAAGTTTTTAATTAAAAAAATAGTTACCGAATGCTGCTTACTAAGCTTTTGGACTATAAAAACCATGCTAAACAGTTTAACGCCTACAAAGGCGCCTCAATTTGTTTAAGAGCAGTTTCACGTTGAAATGTCGTACCACACTGATAAATTCATTCAGGCACTCGTATTACTTCACAAAGTGAACTATTTTAGTGTCCTTAGGACAAGAACATACATTTTGCTGTGAAAATAAAGGGAAAAAATAGTCAAGAAATATGAAATACAAACATTACTCAAGGGATCCCACTCTGTCGACAATCTAGTGCAGCTATACTCAACCTGCGGCCCGCGGGCCGCATGTGGCCCGCCGGGCCTTTATCAGTGGCCCGCGTACACTCAGAGATAATTGTATACTATTTTGAATTTCGCGCCCATTCGCGACGCGTCGGCGAAATAGTGCACGAGCAGCAGAGAAAAACAATAGGTAACTAGATAGCCGGCCGCGGTCGGCGGTGCGTTCCATCCAGTGAGTGTTTGGCAGAAAGGGAGGTCCGCGAGCGGGAATCCCTCTTCTACGTGAGCGCGTGTCGTTCTGTTTGCCGGTTGCAACTTGTTTTGAGTTTGACTTATTGAAGTTGTTCAGTGTTTCGTTATTGTTTTAATTTAAAAACAATGTCAGGAGTATCTTCTAAGTATAAACGAAAGATATCTGATGAAAATAGATTGTTTCAAGATGAGTGGGAAACTGAATATTTTGTTGTGCCTAACAAAAACAGTGCAGCTACTTGTTTGATATGTCGTGAAAGTATTACATTGAAGAAATACAATATTTCTCGTCATTTTACTACAAAACATAATTCGTTCAACGACACGTTTCCTCCTGGATCGTCTTTAAGAAATGAAAAATTGCAGTTTTTTAAGAGATCATTAAATCAACAACAGAATGTTATGTCTGTTGCATTGTCACAAGACTCCGCGGTAACTAAGGCATCATACGAAATTTGTTACATTCTTGGTAAGCATATGAAACCTTTTACAGATGCAGAAATCGTAAAAGAATGCTTTGTTAGTGCTGCTGATATACTTTTTGATAAATTCAGTAACAAGAAACAAATACTAGCTGATATAAAAAAAATACAGCTTTCCGACTCAACCTGTACGAGGCGTATTGAAGACATTTCTAAATATATTCATGAAGATGTTTTGGATAACCTGAGAAAGTGCAAGTTTTTTAGTTTGGCTTTCGATTCCAGTACCGATATTTCAGCTACATCGCAATGCTCGTTGTTTGTTAGATATTGTACCGAGAATAATCTAATTGTCGAACAATTTTTGAAATTTTTATCAATGAAAGGTCAAACCCGAGGCATAGATTACCTTGATACTATTTGCAATTATTTAGAGCAGAATGATATTGACATTAAAAAAATTGTGTGTGTTTGTACAGATGGCTGTCCTTCAATGACTGGGTCCGAAAATGGATTTATTGCGTTGTTTAAGAAAAAATATAATTTAACTAATTTAGTGACATTTCACTGCTTTATCCATCAAGAAAACTTGATCGCGCGTGCTGTGAATCCCGATTTAGAAGCAGTAATGAAGACAGTAATCAATATTGTCAATTATATACGAGCAAAAGAATTGAACCACAGAAAATTTACAAGTCTTTTGGAAGAATTAAAAAGCGAGTATAGCGACGTCCTTTTACATACCTCGGTGCGATGGCTTAGTAGAGGAAAAGTTTTGGAAAGGTTTTTTTCTTTACGCCATGAAATAATGCTTTTTTTAGACCAAAATAATAAAATTTACCCTGAATTACAACAGGATGAATGGTGGTGTCTTTTAGCTTTTCTTTGTGATATCACAGAAAAATTAAATAATGTGAATCAGAGTTTGCAAGGTAAGGATAAGATAGTCTCCAATATGGCCAATACAGTATTTGCTTTTGAAGAAAAGATAAGTATTTTTTATAAAGAATTACAGAACAAAAATCTGCAAAATTTTTCCACTATGTTAAAGACCACAGAAGACCTTTCCAACATTTCTGAGAAAAACTGTGTTATATTTTTGGATTATATAACTGCACTGTTAAACGAGTTCCAAAAAAGATTTCAGGATCTAAGAAAAATAAGAAAATGTTTGTTACTGGTAGAAAATCCATGGCATTTAGAAACAACAACTATTGGTGAGTTGGCTTCAGTTTTAAACTGTAATTATTCACAGTTGTTTGATGAATTCATCGATTTTAAAAATGACACCAACCTAGAAGTTCTGTTTAAAGAAAAAAGGGAAAACAAAGAATATGTAGAATTTTGGAGCATTGTTCCCCAAAAATATAAAATGGTTCAGAGAAGTGCCCAAACCTTATTAACATTTTTTGGGTCTACGTACCTGTGTGAGTCGTCATTCTCAAAAATGAAATACATAAAGAACTTGTATAGGAACAAACTTACAGATTCTCACCTGGATGATGTAATAAGGTTAGCGTGCAGCGACAAGCCAGATCTGGACAAAGTAATGAAAAAGCGTTCACAGTTTCAAACATCACATTGAATGATTTACATCTGTTATTACTATTTTTCAAAATTTTAGTTTCTGTCTTATCGTTATCTTGGCTAATATTTTTAATTTTATTGTAACTACCTTCACTTTCTCGACCATTAAAGTAATTTTGGAAAACTAATTCTTTTTACTCCTAAATTATTTCTGCTTGCGGCCCGCGACATCATGACTAAACCGTGTTTGTGGCCCGTATAAAAAAAAGGTTGAGTACCGCTGATCTAGTGAATGGCAATCGACGACGATCTAGGAGGACGTTGTGAAAATCCTTGAGCCTCCTCTTCATCAAGCAGTGGACGTCCTTAGGTTAAACGAATTAAAAATTAGAGTATTTTATATTCTGTTGTGAGTAACCACGCGCCTCAAGACGAAAGTCTTTATTCAGTGTGTGGAAACGTGGCCTCTCACCATAGGCCAAAGTTGCACAGTGTGATATAAAAAGGGCTATGCTCGGTGTTTCTATACGAGATCAAATCAGAAATGGGGAGATCCGTAAACGAACTAAAGTCACTGACATAGCCCGACGAATTAGCAAGCCGAACTGGCAATGGTCAGGGCACATAGTACGTACACACATAGACGGCCGATGGGGCAGCAAGGTTCTGGAGTGGAGGCCACGTACCGGAAAACGCAGCGTCGGACGTCCACCCACAAGGTGGATCGACGATCTGATAAAGGTAGCAGGAAGGCACTGGATGCAGGCCGCTACCAACCGTGCGATGTGGAAGTCATTGGGGGAGGCCTATATTCAGCAGTGGACGTCCTGTGGCTGAAATGATGATGATGATGATGAAATATAGATGACCTACACTGAACTGTCCCACCAAACTCCAATAGTTTCCAACATGACAAAAATGGGAACCAGCGATCCGGTATTGACGGTGGCGCCCCCCTGTCAGTGTCACGGGTGGGACAGTTCATCGTATTGGGTCTATATCACTCACAGAGCGTGGTAGATGCGGGATGATGTTGCGCTGGCTGGCCACGACGTGTGGCTGAAGTGATGAACCACGTAATTAATGGTTGGTGTTGTTCCAGAGAGCAGTGGGTCGCAGATCTTCAGCGAGTGGCGGCAGGACGTGTCGATGTCGGGCTTCGGGCCGCCCTTCCAGGCCGCCTTCTACACCGTGCGCATCAGCGTCACCAGCGACATCGAGGATATTGTTAGCACCGTGAGTAACCTAAGTTACCTATACTAAGGTCCGTTTTGACCATCATTAAGAATATCTAAACTATAGTCTGGTCCGTGAGCACGTAGAATTTTGTCCAATGACCCCTAGCTACCCATCCTTATCGCTCGCGCGTAATTATGTTGCTATCGCGCTCGCACACTCACTGCGGGTGCCAGTCGCACAGTCGCTGTAATGAGGGCTATCGTTTTTATACTTAANCCTATTTATATTACCACTAACTGCTGAAAAACATTTTTGGCCTGATGGAAAGTGATGATCAGGCAAAAAGTGGAAGCGAGCTTCACCCGGATTCCTCGATTATAGAGCAACTGACTATCTTAGTTCCAACTGCCAAAACACAATGTGTTTCCCTCTAAAAATATGCTGATTTGAAATTTTCTTCCAGTACGCCGACAATACTGCCCTTCGAGCAATCTTGGAGAAGAGCTTCTGGTTCCAGCTGATTCTGAGTGCTGTGTACAGTGTCGATACCTTCTTCTGTTTAGGGTAAGTTCGTTTCTTTCGTCAGCTTTGTTAGACCATGCACATAAATAAGCACATGTATTACTGAATTTTGTTCACTGTATTATAAGGAGGTCACAAATGTAATAAACTTGTTTTGCAGAGGTATGCTGGTGACATTCCTGTACTTCCGGACCAACTCCAACGGAAAGCTGGACCTCATCACCAAGGGCCGCAGGAAGCTCACATCGGGAATCCTTCAGTTCATCGGACTGCTTGCGTACAGATTTGCCAGGTGATGCAAGCAATTTTTCAAAAGCAGGTTTCAACTCTCTACTCTAAGAGTGTAATGTGTACTATCGGGGACTCTTTCGCCTGACCACTTTGTAGAAATTTTAGCGTAAGCGCATCGCTCCGGTCACGTGCTCACCCCGTCTCTAATTGGTTACGCATTTTACTATATTTTTACTACGACCAATAAGAGACAATCAGGGCTTAGGTTGCAATACGAAATACCATTGTGCACTTTATTGTCATACGGTTAAGGTTTAAAACGAAATGTTTCTTTTTCTTCAATCTTTCTTAGTTTTAGGCTGAGTTGCGCCACCTAACTTTGACCGTAGCTATAACGGTAACCGGTGCTTTTTGTATGGAGCTTAACAGATTTTTGANACCTATGCCCGTGTATTTTTGATCGGTGTCAAATCGGAGTTTTTGGTGCGGGGTGCGCGGGTGTTGCTCGCGGCGTGAAGGTCAAACGCCCAAGGTCATTGAGGACTCTAATCGCCTTAACAGTTGGCACCCCTGGCGATTGACAGGACCTTACTCTACAGTGGCGCCATCTTGATGAGTGCAAATGCGATAGTCCTCCACCACTTTAGCGCTCACAAGTTGGTGCCACTGTCTTCGCTACTAGCAAGTGACAGGACCTTACTCTACAGTGGCGCTAACTGTTGAGCGCTAAAACGATAGCCCTCATTACATTCAATCCTTCCAACATAGATGAATATCGCTCAAGATAACTCACTACGTCACTGGCAGACCACCTCAAAACATTTGCTTGGAATAAGGTGTCCATAAAATCCTAGAGAAAATTATATCTGTAACTAAAATTAACGACTAAATATATAGTAATTGATGTACCTGTAACTACAGCGGTTTGCACAAAAACAGCGTTTATAGGTTTTAAAGAAATTCTGCTGTTTCTATCGCCTAAGAGGAAGACCGAAAAGATGGACAAGTGACATCCAGCAACAGACTGGAATTAACTGGATGCAAGTGGCTTGAACCGGCCCAGGTTGAAGAGTAGGCCTATGTTCGAAGTTTGTCTAAAACAGATAGATGTTTCTATATACAGGGTGTTAGGTAAATGGGTATATGAGCCGACACTAGCCCATGTTAACATGGTCATATAAATGGTATGGTGAAGTCAGAAAATTGATATCTTCATTTTAATTATTTTATTTTTCATACAAAACGGATTTTATAAAATTTATTTATTTTGTATGAAAATTAAAAAAATAAAATTATGATATCAAATTTCTGACTTCACCATACCATTTATATGCCCATGTTAACATGGGCTAGTGTCGGCTCATATACCCATTTACCTAACACCCTGTATATAAAAAAAAAGAATTATTTATAGTCTAAGATAGTATACTTTAGTAACTAATTGATGTTTTTTCCAGCGGCGCACGCTGCACCTAGGCCTGTGCCTGCCCGAATCCTGCTCGCGCGAGCGCGTGGGCGCGCTGGTGGGCGCTGCGCACGCGCCGCTCCTGCGTCAGAGCGTGGTCGCCGTCCGCTCGCCGCAGCATGGCGGATACACCTACACGAGTGACCCTACCTTCCAAGTTCTGCTGTGAGTATATGCCTTATGATGTACCCTCTTTTCAATCGTAACTACCTTGCTATTCGGTCGCAGCACCGCGGCTATACCTAAACGACTACACGAGTGACCTTACCTACTTGATTCTACTTTGGGTACTTGTTTCTTCCGTCTGATCCCTATTTTCCACGTAAGTAATTCTAAGGCTTGTAACTAACTTGCTATTCGGTGTCCGAGGCAGCACAGCGGATACACCTACACGAGTGACCCGACGTTCCAAGTGCTGCTGTATACTTATGCCTTCTTTCTTATGGCTGTGCCCTATTTTCAATCGTAACCCCGCCACTCTTTCCCACCTCTGCAACTGTAGAATCTACAGGTCCCTTGAAAACCCGTAAATCCCACCACTGCAACTGCAGGATCTAAAGGCCTCATGAAAATCCGTAACTGTATAAATTAAATAAAGTTTCTGTGGAAAAGATTGGTTCCTCCTCTTTGCCAGATAAGATCTAGATTTGTTCCGTTCGTTTCTAGCATTGTTGCTCCTGGGGGCAAAATCACACGATGGACTCCCTCCGAATGGGGAAAATGTATTGGGAAATTACGTTTTTTTTCCTATCGGAGGATTAAGTTGGGATTGGCCTTTGTGTAAGTATAGATAGGTTGGACAATTAAATCAATGGTCACTGAAAGTAGAAAAGTTGTTCATAGAAGACAGATTATATGATGATGATGATGATGATGATAGACGACCAATTAAATAGTTTCTTAATAAGGAGGCGTTAACGTAACGCATGATCATGCACTTATTATGAGATTTTTAGAAATGTTTCGTACACTTGCTCATGCGAATCCGGGGCAACCAAGTAATATAATTGCGTATATGATAGCTTGGGTAATTTATGTTTATTACTCAATCATACATCACTGACTGAATGGATGTTACTAAGCAAATGTAACTGGTAAAATATAGAGCTACGCGATAGCATCTTTTAATTTCAAAATTGACAATTTTCATTAAATGCAATCGGAATTTAAATTGTCCATTTATAAAATTGCAGTTACAATACTACAGCACAACAAACATTACCTAATTAAGTATTTACGTTTGGTTGTTTTGCAACGCATGTATTGCGTTAACAACAGCTACCATTTTGTTACAAATAATAAACCCAGCCGCGGGCGGATTTCAGCGTTTGCACGACTATACGTAAATGTGACCCACATTATAATATTATGCAATATCTATTTAATGTAATGGACACTGACTCATGTTGATTATGGTATTAAAAACTACACAGTCAAATAATGGAATTACAATGTGTATGGCAATACTTGACCTACATGAATCTCACATGAATGCCATGCGTCAGGGGAGTATCTATAGTCAACTGCTTAGCTGGTAGTCTGCAGAAAATAAGATAAAAGAAATACAAGTAATAGGTTCGGGGATTGTCAATGGGGAATAGTGGAATAAGCCAACAAATCTCGTTATTGGAAACATTTTTCTTTCCAGCGGTGTTTCGAACGCACAATTAATAGACACAAACCGTGCAAATCGCTTTACTGAAGAAAACCTATTCCTTTTCCTTCCTATTTTCTAATAATGTGTCGAAATTTTGTTTGTTTCTACCTTTAAAATTCTCATACTTTTATAATAGTTATTTTCTTAAATGTTATTATAATCAATTTATTTATAATATAAACCATTGTATGGGGTGGAGGGTTGGTAACCTGAGACACAGGAATCTTCCTAGTTCAGGTATCAACCCACCAACATTCTTACTTTTTGTTTTTCCTGATTGTTTGTTATCATAATACACTCGGCATCAAATAAATCTCACCTCCCGCGACAAGCACTTATCAAACGTATGCATCCCCACTTCCCACCAACATTGGTACCATTTGAAAGCCTAGTTCTAAACTTCATTTCATTGAAGGAAAGGTTTTTACCCCAAAAATGTGTCTTTAGAAGGATCCAGAGTCACTTCTTCAAAAAATAGGTAGTTACGCTTGAGCCAACTTTTATGGCTATAAAATTGTTAAATTGGGATTAATTTCTATCCATCTGTTAAAAAAGATACGTAAGATCATTATTTGGTTTTATAACCCCAAAAATTCGTCTACTTGGTCCCATAGGTGAGCCCCAAGTGAGGCCTTTTTTCAAGTCACATTTATGGTACCTGTTAATTGTTTATAAAAAAATTAAATGTGTTTTTCTTTAAGTTTATTTATTGGGCTTTCAAATAACACCAATATTGTTGGGGCACCATGATTGTGTCAGAAGAAAATCTATAAAGTTCGCGTCGCGGAAGGTGCGATTTATTTGATGTTGAGTGTATTATCTGTTATATTGGTGAGAAATAAACATTACTTTACTTTCCAGCGGTGTCTCGACCGCAGTAGCCATACTGCTGATCGTGGCGACGGCTTACGACCTGCGGCTGGCGCGCGAGGTGCGCCGGCGCCGGCGCCGCGCTGCCAATATGGCGGCCGCCGACAGCGGCGCGCGCGGCGACCTGAAGCTCGACCTCAATGGGCTGGACGACATCACTGTTGCTAATGGTAATATAATAGAAACAATATTGATATAAAGTGGAATACACATACCTGCCAGAGAACAAGAAAATACGCTGCAGCGTACATACTTCCTTTTCTTCATCAATTACCATAATGGCTACTGGCTTTGCAAGCTATTAACACTAGTTGTGATCTTTTGGAGTAAGTATTACCTCGTTAATTGATAGGCTTTGTTGAGGCTAAAGAGATCTTTTCACGAGTAGATAGGAACGCTAAACCAAGTATACGTGAATTTTGACTTAATTCAAAAATTTTTTGCAGGAAAATCTATGTACAACGTGAACAACAACATCGCAATCAACAGCACTCATTCGGAAGAACGGTTGACTGGGGAAACTGCGTCTACCACTGACGATGAACTCAAACTAAGTAAGTAGTTTTACATACGCGAGTAGGTTCCCAAGATGTATTTTTCGTAAGATATCCTCTGAGCGAACCTATGATATGACCTAGAGTGTAGGTGAACCTCTGATGATGATTTTTGTAAGAAAAATATGATAGTTCTTCCTGCAAACTTTATAAGATCACTCTGTCCATATTGGTAGGTGGATATGAGGGTTGCTTCTAATTAGCCTATCTAGAAATCTTCGAGCAAGGCCTACTCGCATGTTCAGCAATAGACGTCTACTTAAAGGCAGCAATGATGTTGTTACGACATTTGCCAGTATATTCGTTATAGGACTACAAAAATCTTTCTCCAGGCATCTGGTCCGAGCTACTGCTGTCGTTCTCGATGAAGGCCAACATCCTGCAGATCTTCGACCAGAGCGTGGGCGCCGACACCGTGCCGGTCGTGCACGGGCTGCGCTCGCTGTCCATGGTCTGGGTCATCTTCGGACACACCTGCATCGTCGTTTTCAAGGTGAGATATTCATTCAATCGAACGAAGAATTTGTAAGATTCTCCTAACTTTGAAAGTTTCTTGACGATGTGCATTTATACCCATGGAAACTCTTGGCTTGCATCTCTCACCTGATAAAAATTACCTGTCTGAAGGTGGAAATGAGCTTCACCCGGAATTCTCAGCTATATAATAAATAGCTATACATATTTATATGGGACAATATTATTTGATCCTCTAAAAACTAATTGATCTTTTTTGTATGTGCACTTTTAAAAATAAATGATGTTTTTTATTATATTTTATCTTTATTTTAATTATTGGGTCTATATTAGTTGATCTACGGATAAATTATGAATGATCTTCATTAAAGGTAACATAATATTTATGTTTAACATACTCTTTTAATATTTGGTAAACAAAAATAATATTTGATCCTCTTTTTTAGTTATTGATCTTTAATTTTGTTAATTTGATGATTTTTATTTCAAGTTTGCCTTCTAATATNGAAAGATGAATGAATGGGGGCGTAGCTTAATCGAGCGTGTGTGTGCAAACAATTTAGGCCCTTAAGGTGTCAAGGCGTCCGAGTCCTCGATAGTACATGTTGTAATGTAACAATGTTGGTAGACCTAATAAATAAATAAATAATGCCGCTAAAAGTTAAAATTTTGAGGTGTTTCTCAGCACTATCCAATTTGTTGATCCCTTTCACGTCCCTATTTAAGGACGTAGCACATTTATCAACCCGGAAAGGGATCGTAACCGTATCAACTCGAGGCGGTCAGTATTCTTTCTTACACTTATCCGCACCATAACGTAAACGCCTCGCCTCGCGGTTACAGCGCGCGAAAGGCGATGACAGCTCACGAAAGGCAAAACGGTGTTGATTCCTTTCCGAGTTGATAAGTCTGCTAAGATCTTTATACGTCTTGACGCTGCTTCTTACCTCTCTGTTTGCTTGTTGACTCATAATTAATACCGCATCTCCCATATCCTCAGGCTGACAGCGCCATACCTGTTCATGCTGGGCGTAGTGGAAGTGACGATGAAGTGGTTCGCCCACAACGCGGTGTTCGAGCCGCCGGCCATGGATCACGAGACTTGCCCGCAGTACTGGTGGCGCAACCTGCTGTACATCAACACGCTCTTTCCCGTGGAACAGATGGTAAGGGGCTACTTTGTGATGATAGGCACCTGTCACTACTATCAGCCACTGCTGGGCATATAATTCTTTCATAGAACGCATGTGGTTATGCAATAAACGATTGAGTATTGAACGCCACAGTCTACCGTATGAGTTACTGGAAGTCAACTGCAGGATCTCTCGCATAAAACGCCACAGTCAACTGCGTCTTCCCGCCTGTGGTCAGCGCTAAAGAACCTTTCATAAACTGTTAAAATAGATGTAAATTCTTGCCGTTCTTGTAAATATAAAAAAATTAAAAATCTTGTGCGCCTACGTTAAATTCCGTTTATCAAAACTTTACAATCTTTTATTGTTTCAGTGCATGTTATGGAGTTGGTATCTCTCTGATGATACTCAATTTTATGCTGTCAGTGCTATCCTACTCATCTTGGCAACAAGGTATGATCACACTAACACTATTTACAGTGTGAGATATTACAAAATAAAAATTTTAATTCCACACTATTTAATTTTGATCCTTTAGCAGTAGTTATAGTTGTCTTTGTCTTATTCCAGCCACTTCAAACTCTCCGTCTCGCTTACGGGAGTCTTCTTCGTGTCCTCCCTATTCACGACAGGATACGTTTCCTGGAGCAACGAGCATATTCCTAACAGCGAAGACCCCTTCACACAGTTCGATAAGATCTACGACAAGCCCTGGACGAGATTGGGACCCTACCTGGTCGGAATGGCCACTGGATGGATCCTGTTCAAAACCAATTTGAAGATCAGAATGGGCAGGGTAAGACTGAAATTGTTTTAGTTGCAGTCTTGTAATTTCTAGCTCCACCTAATTCATTTTTAACTTAGGCAGAATCTTATCGATCCCGTGTTAGATCTCTATAATATTTGTGCTTACTAGCACAAGCAACATCTGTTGCAGGAAGCTCCAACAACTTGTTACTGAACTAAGTTAAAGAAATAAATAAACGAATTTGAAAAGAATTATAAAGTCAAATTACTTTTAGGAGCGGGCACCCTCTAAGGCAGGCTCAAAGGCTTCGCCTACTAAATTTATGCGGAGAGAGCAAAGACAAGCTCTTCTTAATTTGAAGATTGACAGTTCGTGTGACAATTTATCAGACACTGCGATTTGATTGGCCTCCGTAAATTCTTCTGTATTTCTTCAATCTTCATCCATTCTTTAACATTTCTAACACAAATCTACATTTCCAGGTATGGGCGGGCGTGGGCTGGGCGGCATGCACGGGGATGCTTCTGTTCCTGATCTTCGGGCTGTACCAGACAGAGCTGGGCGTCGCCAGCGCGGCAGTCTACAGCGCGCTCTCGCACTCGCTATGGGCGGCCTGTATCGGTTGGATCATCATCGCCTGCTCCACGGGATACGGAGGTTTGTAAACCTTCTTCTATACGCTCATGTTCTTCTTGGATGGATATGCTTTACAGTGTATGAGTGTGTTCATGATATTGAAATAAGCTTCAAAATCTGAGTCCGCAACAAATAATCATGCATTCTGTGAATTTGCAATTTCAGATCATTAAACATATTGTTATTTTAAAGGTAATCCATTTGCAAGGTCAAGCATAGGTGTTCATTTTTTATCTTCACCTAATACAATTGCAGCGTCATCCATAAAGGGATCACATCATCATCAACAGCCCTTTACAGTCCACTGCTGGACTATGAGCCGAGGGTTTTGCCATAATCCCCACGATTGGCAGGCGGGTTGGAGATTGCAATTTAAAAAAATTATGTTTTTCAGAGAGCGCTGCTGCCCGTTCTCTGTTTGATTTTTATTTTTTTTTTATTTTTAAACTTATATGCACTTAGAACGATGTACATAAGGCGGACTTAATGCCGATGAGATTAAAATTTGATGTGTAACCCCTAAAGGGATCACGTCTGTCAATAAGTGTTATCTTTACGAGACTTCAACATTTTCCGATGGACTCCCGCAAGGGTCAATACTGAGTCCTTTTCTATTCCTCGTCATTAAAAGTTTTTTTTTCCTACAGACTTCCACAGGGCTCAATACTGAGTCCATTTCTGTTCCTCTATATTCAAAAAATTGTTTCTTGTTCCAGGCTGGGTCCGCAGCCTGCTGGCGGCGCCGGTGCTGTACCCGTTCTCGCGCGTGACGTACTGCGCGTACCTGGTGCACCCGGTGGTACTACGCTACGTGGCCATGCATCTCACGCACCCCATCCACCTTGGAGAACTGCTTGTGGTGAGTTGCTAACTCGATCATCATCATCATTATCAACAGCTCTTTACAGTCCACTGCTGAACTATGAGCCTCCTACACTATAGTGGAGGGTTTCGCCATAATCTCCACGCTTGGCAGGCGGGTTGGAGATCGCAGTTTAAAAGATTGATGTTTTTCAGAGAGCGCTGCTGCCCGTTCTCTGTTTGATGTGTAGTCCCTAAGTCGCCTCTTACGACACACCCGTGGGAAGAGTAGGGGTTGATGACAAATGTACTCTACTCTGCCGTCACCACATGGCTTGCTAACTCGATAGTTAAAACATATGGAAACACAGGCTTTAGTAAACCTTGTGTCTAGCATTGGGAGTCCTTTAAATCCTTCATTTGCCTCTTGTATGTTAGGAAGGGTCGTGCACTAAATGACTTGATTATGATCAAAATACTCGCAGTTTCTGCGACCAACATAGTCACCTAACATCAATCAAATGAGTTCAAAAACTTATATTCGTCTCCATATTAGTAGAGTGAAAAAAACTCAGAGTTATAATAGCGGAAAGCCAAAATGAAAACAGAAGATAAGCGACAGGTCAGAAGACTTTACGATAAAGGGCGTGAGGTTTTAACATTATCCCCGATTTAAGGATACCGATACCAAAACGGCAACGCCTATGACCGTGAAATTATGAAGTAAACCAACGCTAACATACCTTCATCGTTTCCAGTTCGTCCTGTTCCTGGGGCTGACGGTGATATCGTACGTCCTAGCGTTCATCATCTCCGTTGCCTTCGAGGCTCCCATCGTCACCATGCTGAAGATTGTCTCCCCACAGCGTAAGCCGCATCGAGTGTGACGTCACCGACTGAAGTGACGTCACCGACCGAAGTGACAATGTCTCGAAAATACTCCTCGAGAATGCGCGATAGAAATGTACCTATAACTTTTTTCTTTTATCCTGGTTCTGCCTGGCCAGTAACTTATAAAAAAATATTGTTTGCACTTTTTGTGCTATCGTATAAGGTGTTCGTGATCAGGATCTTGACATCAATAAGGGTCTTTTATAGAGAAAAATAGATTTACATTTGGACTTAAACCATTTTCATCAAGTTCAAAATGTGTTGGCAACAATTCAGCTACCACCAGGTTTTAGGCAGGCAGTTTCAGGGGACTCTCAAGACTTGTATAACTCACAAATTAGATAGAGTATGTTCTCTCTACTCATACTATGTTCTCAGTTCTAAACTAAAAGCTAAACCAAGAATACTCTTTCACAGAATGAACTCCTATAGTTGGCTTAAATATTTGAATTTCAAATGGGTGGGTTTCATGACAACCAATTTACAAATATAAAGTGACAAAGTTTACCAATAATTAAGTAAGCATATGCTACGTGCTTACGTGCTTAGGCGTCTACATTTCGTACCTGTATTAGTGAAAATTGGCTTAGTACTTGCCTTTAAGTAAGTAAGTACTATACTAAATAAATATATTTTCGGGACAGTTGGTTAACCAAATTAAAAACTTGAACTAGTGTAGATTTTTATATTCAACCCAATGAAATACTTGAGTTGGATCTCAGAAACAACAAATTTCTTTTTAACATATTATTTAAATCGATATTAAAATAGCGAGTAAATAATCGTAATGAAAATTGGAAGCTTTACTTTGAAAATGTTTGTGGTGTTAGATTTTCGTACTTAAATTAAAATTTATTTTACTTTATTAGGTCAGATGAAGGCCAAAGCATTCGAATGTGAAAAATGTGAATATGTTTTGCTCATTTAGATACTAAATTACGTATTTTATATTATTTACCCTACAAATATAAAATGAATGAATGAATGAACGTAGCCTGAATGAAATTGCAAAGGCATGACAAAATGTTATAGTGTATGTGAACAGTGAATGGTACCTACTTTAATCTTCTTTATTATGAAAATGTAAATAAGTCTGTTTTAATTAATTAGATTATGTAAATAAGTTGTAAATATTAAAATTCGTAAGTTTATACTGATTTATTGTTAAGTCTTAATTTGTAAAGTTTTATATTGAAATAAATATGATAAAACTAAAGGTACATGTTTCTTAAGTACAACCTTATCACTAAGACCTATATATTTTATTTATACTTATACAAACAAGTGATTCAGTCTTCATAAAATAGGCATAAAAGTAAGTATTTAGAGAAAAATATCTCAATATCTTTATCTATGCTCGGGATTCTTCTTTATTAGAAGTTGTCGTATGTATAGACAATTTCACTATTGTAACTCAATACATCAGGCATATCTTTAAGTATGCAAGTAGCATTATATGCTATCGTTATTGATTCCACAAGCATTGATAACTTTCGACCACTTCACGATTGACAACGTCAAGTGCGTCACCGCTGCACCGTCAAAATTAAATGTAGTTTCTTAATGCAGTAGTCAGCACATCAGACTATACATTTTGCTAAATAGCACGTATTACAACTAAATATGCCACAATATATGTCTTGTTGTGCCATAGTCTGTACATGATCGCTCATATGGTAACGTCATATGAATTTTGGCACCCTCCTTGACTAAGTTACAAACGTGTTAGTAATTGTATTATCCAAATCGGCGGAAAATTCACTTCGGCGTGGCATAACTGTAACAAAAGTCTTAAATCTAGGGTCTTGATTCGCGAGAGAAATAGAACAGCACTTATCTCATACAATTACTGGCGCCATCTACCGGAGCGTGTAAGCACTACACGGTAGCGCAATCGGAGAGTCGTCTCAGCAGGCTGCAGCAAGGCATCTCCACCAGCAGTGATAGGAATAATGCCCCGATGATTGTTAGCAGGGTGGTCCCGGCAAAGTATGCCCACTGAAAATAAACATTAATAATACTTATAAATTCCCATGCCTGATTGATTTACTGTGGCCGCTTTCGAATCACTGAGGGTAAATGTTGGAGTAATGATAAAAGGTATTTCGCCAGGAGTCATGTAGGTTTATAATTTAGACAATAAAGACAATTATGTGTCAGTTTATATCAATTTGCATCACATTCCATGTTTTCTTTTAAATATTTTCCTCGTTGGATATCTGATTGATCGATCATATGATCTAAATCTCACCAGGCAAGGGGTCGACCAACTTTTGACGTGATTTCTGATTTAGTATTATCTAACTAAAAGAGACGTAAATCGAAAGAGCTGCAGGTTACCGACCGAGCCCTGCCTACTGGCTAAAAATTTTCATCACTGGCTGAGTCCACACTATCAACCGTATCGTCAGGAGTGTACCCAGCTACTCACCACGCATTTTGCACTAGAGAGAAGTCGAACCTTAACTTCGGACTCCTCCTATCTTCTTCTGATTAATTTCGTTGCGGGTCCAATGACAATTTAACTTTCCCCCGGGACAAACTTGACCTTCACTGGTTGGGTTTTAATTGGCGGTCAAGCTGTAGATCCTGGCTACACAGCGGTGGGAACGAGAGGTGGGAATAGTTCCACTACTCACCACACAAGCGGCGTGCGCGCTCAACGCGCTTCTAGCGGCTAGCACGAGCGAAGTAGAAGCATGCCGTACGTCAGCCGGCTCAGCGCTGCAGCGGCGGTGGGAAAGAGAAGTGGGAATAGTTCCACTACTCACCACGCAAGCAGCGTGTGCGCTCAAAGCGCTTCCAGCGGCTAGCACGAGCGAAGTAGAAGCATGCCGTACGTCAGCCGGCTCAGCGCTGCAGCGGCGGTGGGAAAGAGAAGTGGGAATAGTTCCGCTACTCACCACACAGGCGGCGTGCGCGCTCAACACGCTTCCAGCGGCTAGCACGAGCGAAGTAGAGGCATGCCGTACGTCAGCCGGCTCAGCGCTGCAGCGCGGTGGGAAAGATAAGTGGGAATAGTTCCACTACTCACCACGCAAGCAGCGTGTGCGCTCAAAGCGCTTCCAGCGGCTAGCACGAGCGCGCGCGCGACGGGCGCGTGAAGTAGAAGCATGCCGTAGCTCAGTCGGCTCAGCGCTGCAGCGGCGCCGCTGTCCAGCAGCTTACGGGCTACAGCTGCGAAGGAAAACGAATGAGGCAGAGGCTTAACTAGGCGAGTTTTACGCGTTCGCATTTCGTCACGAATTCAAAAATGGGTATTCATTTTGTTCCATTCGCAAAATAGTCACACTCAGATAAAAGTTGTTTAACATTTTCAACCTATAGCCTGACCAAGAACATAAAAACCCTCGCCATGTTGCGGAAAACTAATGGTACTAATTTCTTTTAATGGCAACAGTAACTAAAAACTTCATTGACATGTCACCTTGCATGATTGTTGTCAAAGTGTAAACAAACTTTGTTTTAAATGTGTGCAATTGATTTTGTGAATTAAATTGCTAAAATATTTTTATAGTCGTGAAAGAAAAGTGGTTCACGGTGTGTTAATGTATTTGTCGAAGAGAAATACTAAGGGTTCGGACAATATTTTCATTGAATAATGTTTCCGACAAAGGTTGTCAAATTGACTGACATGTTTATCGTATAGTACAGTCCACTATGAAAATTAGCTGTAGTCTGTTTCAACTACCCATTTTAAAGTTTTTTGTTACTTTCTAAGTTTTGAATTTTATGGAATTGGGAAAGAAGTACCGAGTTTGAAGTGTTCATGAGCAGACATTGCAGTTGAATATTCAAGTTCTGAATTTGATTATTGATGAATAATAAAATAAATCCTACTAGCTCGATTGATGGTGTCATTTAATTTATTTAAACCAGGTTACCTTTAATAATATTTTTCGTTCATTTATGAAAATATCAAATTAGCCCGTAATCCTGAATCCTGATACATAAATTTAGCCTATTAATTTAACACATGTACGACTGTACTCAGTGTTGCACTATCAAATGCAATTGAAGCGCCTCTATGCCAGGGTTTTTATGTTCCTGGTCAGGCTATAAGACGGTGTCTCCAATCGCTGCACTACTATACTATAATCGGTGGTGGATCGTTGCCACGTCTTCGTACCTCGTGGCTTCTATACTATGTGCGGTGTGACGTTCTATACGGTGAACACGGTGCGGTCGATGTCACACGCTGTAGGAGTCCGGTCAATACGGTATCCGAAGTCGCTATGCTATACGGTGTCCGAGGTCTATGCTGTAGTCGTTGTACTATTCACTATGCGCTCTTGAGACTCTTGAGTAGACTTCGCTGTACTATCGGAGACTATTCTCTTCGCTTGACTATGAGAGACTATGCTAGGTTCGGCCCGGCAGCCGGTTTATATACCCATAAAAGCCCGCCTATTTTCTGGAACAATTCGCGGTCCGCCCGTATTCGGGAAAACACAAGTACTTACTCGAACTCGCGGGAGTCGTAAACTAACTATAAGGTGTCCGGATATGAACCTTATTGCGTATGCGCTAAGGGCGGTTATCGCGGGCGCGCGTGCTATCGCTGTCCTTTGCGCGCTCGCGCTGTCTCTGTCTTTTTTGGTACTTGCCGAGTGCCGATGATTTATTACATATCTATAGCTATAGTTGCGTATACGTATTTACTGCGGTTTCTTTGATCTTTTTAGGGTTCCGCTCGGCCGATTTGTAGTCGTCCTGCACAGTATCGGTCTGGCTCTGGGAGATTCGTTGCGGAAAGAAAAATGAAATGCAGCACAGGTTTGGACGAAGATTCATCCAAGAGCACAAGGCATTGAGCAAAATATTTTTGAGATTGACATGCGTTTAATAGCAATAGCACTCACAAGCATAATTGGTGGAGCAGACGAGGGTGGGCCACAGTAGAGCGAGCGGCCACGTGAGGTGCACCCAGGCCGCCAGCCAGTCCAGCGCCAGCCACGGAACCAGCGCTGACGTCAGCAGCGTCGATGCTGACGCTGACCACAGTCGTTTGAAACTCACAGGCGTAGTTAGTGGAGCAGACGAGCGTCGGCCACAGTAGAGCGAGCGGCCACGTGAGGTGCACCCAGGCCGCCAGCCAGTCCAGCGCCAGCCACGGAACCAGCGCTGACGTCAGCAGCGTCGATGCTGACGCTGACCACAGGCAAGACGCCGTCACCTGGGGAACGACAATAAAATACATTTGTATTTCCAAATCTTGTTCTTTTTTAGTCCCACAGACGCGAATTTCACAAGTGAAACTACTTTCTAAAGTTTCCAATGTACTTTACATGCTTTTTCGCACATGATTAAGATTTAGCACATGCATTTGACATTATTAAAAAAAAATTAGTTCATTTCATCATAAATTAACATTTCTTTAATTTTATTTTAAAACTGTGAATGAATATTAATTAATTGACTCTGAAATGGAAGAATCATACCTATGATTCACCACTTGATATTTTTACGAGTATTTCAGGGCACTCAATTTGAACCACTATTGTTCATGCTCAAGGATTTTCACAAATGAAATACAGGTATTTTATAAAAACAAAGGGATATACTACCTTAGAGAACGAAACTCTCCCGTTGGTCCTATGCACCATCCATCCAGTAAATACGCCGATAAAGTAGGGCACCACCCTCGCCCAGGGTCGTTCAATTATGGCAACGTATGCTTCGTATAAGCCGGGCAAACTGTAAAAACATAATTGTTATTAATACTTGTTTCTTCTCTAAAGGAAAGAAAAGGGCGACTAAGAGCCAAATACACGAACATCAGGCCGGCGGTGTAGTGTAGACCAAATCCTCCAAAAACCATTTGCATCTGCTAAATTAGAGAGAATCCTGCTCCTGTAGTGGAGACCAAAATTTAGTTTGACTAAATTATCTGATGATGATCATTATCAGCATGTGGTAAGAAAAGTCACTCACTGCTGGCCGGAGTCCGCGTAGGCGCTGCTGACGTTAGCGGCGCTGGCGGCCACGAGCGCGCCGAGAGTAACAGCCACGGCCACGCGTCCGCGCGCGCCCGCCCAAGCTGCGCATAGCAAAGCGCCCGCCGCGTGCAGTGCGTCATGAGACAGCGAGCACTAGCATGCACTGGACACTCACTGCTGGCCGGAGTCCGCATAGGCGCTGCTGACGTCAGCAGCGCTGGAAGCCACTAACGCGCCGAGGGCCACTGTGCACCCGCCCACACTGCGCATAGCAAAGCGCCTGCTGTGTGCAGTTAGTCATAAGGCAGCAAGCACTAGACACTCACTGCTGGCCGGAGTCGGCGTAGGCGCTGCTGACGTCAGCGGCGCTGGAAGCCACGAGCGCGCCGAGAGTAACAGCCACGGCCACGCGCNGTTTTGAAGTTTCATAATTGGTGTGGAAAATGAAGGAAAGATTATTATTTATTCACAGAGAAAGTGTGGTACAAAAGTACTCTCTCTATATTAATGAGAGTTCATCTTATCTTACTAGCTAGTAGTAGCCTACAAATTATATACGTACTACGTAATAAATGTATTGAAACTTATGTACTACCTAATTATTGAATTTTGTTAAGGTTACATGTTTCAATCACCGTTGCTATATTCTGTTTGTTATCAATTTAGTAAGTAGATGGATTGTGTTCTCCATAAAGTAGATACGTAATTTCTTTGTCAATACCCAAAATACTAACGATTTATCCGTCATCCATCGACAAATTATATCGATGTCAAATTCTCTCACATCCCTTCTCCCCACGATGCGGATAATTTTAATATTCTACCCAGCAGTCGATATTGGGGTGGTCTAGGATGAAACCGGTTTGGGTTACAGTTTGCGACTCTGATCAAGCTTGTATTTTCGCTTATGTATTCAATTACTGCTACATGGATACTTGGATTTGAATTAGGATAATAACTGGGCAAATTAAAGTTTGGCCTGGGTAAAGCCTGGTCCGTGAGCACGTAGAATTTTGTCCAATGACCCCAAGCTACCCCGTCGCACAGTCGCGATAGCAGTATAATTACACGCAAGCGATAAGGATGGGTAGCTTGGGGTCATTGGACAAAATTCTACGTGCTCACGGACCAGGCTTTAGTAAGATAAACGATCATCATCATCATCATTTCAGCCACAGGACGTCCACTGCTGGCTGAACATAACATAGGCCTCATCAATGATTTCCACATCGCCTCATTGGTAGCGGTCTGCATCCAGCGCCTTCCTGCTACCTTTATGAGGTCGTCGGTCCACCTTGCAGATGGACGTCCAACGCAAGATAAACGATAGTACTACAAAATTGGCGTAGCAGTTGCCTAATATAACAAATTGTTATCTTTGTGTATAAAAATACAAATAAAACAGGATTACACCCAACCCAAAATTTCCCAAATAAAAACAATTTCCCCGAATATGATACTAAAATTTCTCAATCTGTGATACTGAAACACAACAACATACTATATCAGCAACCTGAGACGCAATTTATTGGCAACACAATCGCCGTGGAACACGAGCCCATAAAATGTTTACGTTTACACCCCCCCTACCCCCTACATCGCAAATCGACTACGTGTAGCTTGTTTTGCCGCCGGTACTAAGGGTTTTATTGAGATTGGGATAATCTTACGTCCCTAAGGACTGGCGTCCATTGCAGTCGTCGAAATTTAAACTATATCTTTGTGATATTACGGTACTCTATTTGTCACTTTAAAACCTTTTGCTTGGGGATTCCTTCAAAACAAGCTTTTCAAATGTTCTTTATCAGCTAGCTTTAGCAGCTAGGTAACATAAACTGCTACGAATTATTTATTTTGATATCAATAATAAATTGTGCAATCGCGAGCACAACAGACTCTAGATTTTTGTTGCAAAATACTGCTAAAAAATTGCTACAGTGTTTGCTTTATGTTGCTGTCATAACATGCATTGTTGCAACAATGAGCATATTAGGTACTATGATGACTATTTTTTCGCCCGATTTCCGTAATCAATCATTCATCTAAACCCATCTAATTTTGCCTGTCAACTGTCAAATTTCAATCTGGATTAGTGTTTTTTGGTTCCCAATAATGTAACAAATAGTTATTGCGATCTGCGCACGCAAAAGTTAAACAAAACCTAACAATGATACGATTAAGAACCCCTAAGTTGATTTTAGAAGCAAAAGCTAGAACTCGATCTAGTTTCTCTCAACACTTTTCGGTTTTCCAATTTTAGAGCTAGGTTTTTGCTGTGTCACCTACTACGTACACACTGAATCGGCTACGTTACAAGTTTGCTTCTTTTTGTCCCAGTTGCTAAACGAATTGTATGTTTTTAGGTTACGTGAGTAGTCTGCATTTGACCCCTATCTCTATTTTCGTATTTAGGTATACCTTTCGGTGTGTAACTAAAACTGATACTTTTAAATGTACTTTAATTTTCGAAAATAATACTTTGAGATAAATCATAAATAAAATGAAATAAGTATCTTGTTCATGTATTAAATTAATGTTTTATCATTTGTGAATTAACTAACTAGTTTCTGATTATGGCAGTAGTTATTACAACAAACGTGGATGGCTGCGTAAATTTTGACTTGTGTCCAATAATTAGTTTTCTTTCTAACATAAAAAACGGGTTTTCCATACAAACTTCCATCCAAAATTACCCTTACTTTTTCGTAACCTAGGTATCTTTCTCATAAGTCCCATCTAATAACTTACTTTACATAACTATTACCTTCAAAATTAAACATCTTAAACTACTTGATTACTTTTGTATTACCAACCACAATTTCCCACAATTTTGGGACCAACGCGTACTTATTTGCCTAAAAGTAGGCGCACAGCACACCGTTGATTTTTAGTTGGCCGATAGTTGTGCCCTATTTTAAATTGTATGAAGAATCGGCCAAATCGAATCGGCGTAGTGTGCGCACTCCCATACATGCCCATGCTGATCAACTGCCCGACTAAACTATCGGCCGACGAAAAATCAACGGTGTGCGCATACTCTAAAGGTTACCCAACAAACAAAATCGTTTCCAAATCCTCTTGATAAAACTTGCCAAGTGTATTTGAAGAACAGAGTTGTATCCAGTTTTGTTTGCGAAGCCATCGATCCTGAGACGCCAGATGTCGAGATGAAAAGCCATTTGGGCTCGCTTTGAATTTTAAGAAGATAAGCTTACAAAGGGAGAGATCAAAAATATCAATTTGCACGCGGAGCTAATCTTGATCACGTTCAGGGAATGTATGAATAAGACTTTATGTTTTTATGGTACAATAATGTGAGAATGTAAAAATAAGTGTACCTGGAAGCAGGTATTTATATCTTTTAAGAGTATTGAAGATGTTGAAAGACGAAAGAAGTTAGAAAAAGTTTTAAAGCGTAAATAGCCCGGGTGTCGGGTCGGATCCAAGGAACGCGGGTTCGATCTCCGCTGCGCCGCTTGTGGTGAGCCCAATCATAACATAAGCATATTTAGCTAACCACGACGAGTTAGCGGGATTAATAGCCTAATAATTTATTGAAAATTGAAAGGAAAAATAAGCAACTTGAAAAAATCGAACTGCCTAAGGCGGGACTCAAACCCACGACCTTCCGCTTGCCGGGCGACTGCTCTTCCAACTGAGCTACTTACACTGGTTTTCAAGTTGTTCATTTAAAATTGAGTTTGAGAAGCGACTCTATTCGCTAAGAAATTTTAATAACGATTAAAAATAAAAAGTCCACCAGCTCGCACTAAGCGTTTCGCTAATGCTTTGATAATGCGAGCAGCTAAGGACTGGAATTCGCTGCCTGCTACTGTCTTTCCCGAACACTATAATCCGGGCCTCGTCAAAGCCAGAGTGAATAGGCATTTACTAAAGCCTGGTCCGTGAGCACGTAGAATTTTGTCCAATGACCCCAAGCTACCCATCCTTATCGCTCGCGCGTAATTATATTGCTGTGTGCGACGGGCGCCCGCAGTGAGTGTGCGAGCGCGACAGCAACAGAATTACGCGCGAGCGATAAGGATGGGTAGCTTGGGGTCATTGGACAAAATTCTACGTGCTCATGGACCAAGCTTTAGGCAAGTAGTATGTACCATCCTAGTCTGCTGTGCACCTCACTTAACATCAGATGCGATTGCAGTCAAATACCTGCCTTGTTCTGCATTAAAAAAGCTTTTGTACATTTCTATGCAAAAGACTACTTAAGTAAATGACTTATTTCCTGGTAAAGGTTTTAGTATTTTTGTGATAAGCCAAACTGGAGTCACGGAAAAAGACAATAAGTTCTAAATGCTAGAATATTATCTAACGAAGGTACATTGTTGTATCCATTGTTTCCATTTTCACAGCATACCGTTTATAAGTTATTATTTTAGTTGCGTCAACTATTTCACAAGTTGCTAGTTTACTTAGGAACGTTGGTAGCTGTGGTTAGTCTTAAGTACACTGGCGAAAAGGAATTTATACACTTAAAACGGATATTAGACTTTGATACAAGCGCATAAGGATCAACATTCAACGGAATATTATACGCTGACAAACTTTCAGCTGTTATAAAATGACGTAGGTCTGGCTCTTAGTCTATACATAAAATTAAATGTGTGTTAAGCTATTTACTAACAAATAGGGACATATTTTATGAGACCCAAAGTTTATCTTTTGCCTGAATACCACATGAATACATTCTGTGGCGGTCTTAGGGCAGGCTGGGTACGTAGTTACTACAACTGTACCCTGTTACAATCGTACCCAATCTCCCCTGTGAGCTTTATAAGTAAAAGCTTTTTTAAACAAAAAGCTCCTTTCGTTTTTCATGCTTTTATTATTGTTGCATAGCGTGACAAACTCACTTTTTCCGTTTTAAACTTATTATTAGTTATGTCCAAGGGTAAATCTAACTACTCGCGTGTCAAATGAAATCAAGCTTTTCCAGTTTTCATTTCATTTACCGTGATTCTTAAGACTAACTTTTGCCCGTGACTTTGACAACTTATTGTATTCTTGAATCTACCTTCACTTTTATAAGACTCTCGCCCGTATTCACAAACGATGCTTGCTTAAGTGAAGCAGCGAATCGAACGCACAGCGTTGAATAGAGCTCTATGATTGGTACGTGTGTCACCTTGTGCGTCCACGCGCACTGTGAGACCTCATAGTAATGTTTGTGAAAACGGGCGTAAGTAAGCCTAAGTAGGTACGAGTAGTTTCGTTAGTTTCAATCTGATGAAGTCTACTGCTGGACAAAGGCCTCCCCACGCATTTCCAAAACGACCGATCTTGCGCTACCTGCATCCAGGTACAGTCAGTCAAATAGTTAGTGACAAACATTTACCACCCACATTGAAAACATAGTAAGCAACCTAAAATCTTTCAACAATTAAAATTCCAAATCACGTAGGAGAGAGCAACGCGTAAACCGATGGCGCCGCGCTCTCTCCGAAATTCAAAATGACCAAATTATAAAAAAAATAGTTCGTGACACCAAAGTGACCAAAAAGTTAACAAAGACGTATTGCGAACTTTTCGAATACTTTGGGTGTCACAAACTATCTGGCGCGGACTGTACTAAGCCTAAGTACGTTCTTATTATTTCATTCAAAGAAACAAGTACACTTAAATATTATAAAAGGATGTGTAATAAAAACAAAAGACGATTATCACAATAGCTCACATTATTAATTTATGACTAACAGTTCTGTGTAACATGAATGAATTCCCTACCGGTAAAGACGACGGCGTATCAAGCTAAATTGTGACATCTTGTTCAGTTGTAATAAGGATTATTTTGCGACATAAATGTATAGTTAAGGTACAATCTAAGTGTGTATAACATTATGTAAACAAGTACATCCTAAATGAATATTCTAATATTCTATTCTATCCCAAACATAATTTTTGAATACTCAATACTTAATCGTTTATTGCATAACCACATTAGCATTCACATTAGGTCTTACACACTTCTTTTACTTCTTTTCACAGCACCTACCTAATAGCACCCAAAACACTAAATGCATTTCTACGCTGCATGACCAAAGTACATAATACGTTTTTAAACAAATGCACTACTATACGATGTTTCCTCCAATCAAGTCAATTCCAATTTCCAACTACCCACTAGAGTTTGCTAGACTACTTAGCCGTTCCTGGAATCTGGAACATCCAGGAAGACGTCATTACAGTGCGGATAGAGATTAATTGGTATCAGATACATAGCAAGTGTGGCTTCCAAAGCTTGTCCCGAAAGAACGGTCCCATGGCAATCCAGTAATGCAGGATCCTGCAAAACTGGATGAGGGTGAACACACATGTGAAATCTTTTAAGTTGGTTTAAATTCGAACTACAAATTCTAACGGATCGGTTTTTTGGGGAACACTACAAATAAGGGATGTTCCAGTGAATGTTTTAAAACACGTATCTACTAAAAGGAATCCTGCAAATAACAGTTCCTGCAAAACACGGGATGTCTTCGTGGGAACAAGCCCTAAGATACATCATCATCATCATTTCAGCCACAGGACGTCCACTGCTGAACATAGGCCTCCCCCTCAGATCATAGAATATGATCTGAGGCCTCCCCCAATGACTCACATCGCACGGTTGGTACCCTAAGATACAACTAATACATTTTGAAAGAAATGCACTTTAAGACATTTCCATAAGTCGATTTCAAATTCCAACTAACCACTACACTACTTAGCCGTTCCTGGAATCTGGAACATCCAGAAAGACATTACAGTGCGGGTAGGGATTAATTGGTATCAGATAGCATGTGCGGCTTCCGAAGCCAATTGCTTGACCCGGCTAATGCTAGTTCACCACAGGTTGGGTAAAACAGCCAGTACATAGTTATTGAATTTTTTTAGCGTTAAGGCCCGGTGGATTGGGGAAGTGTTTGAATAACCAATCAGATTTTATAGTTTTCTGAATAATGAACTCTTATTGGTTACTCCAGATCACGTGGTAGATCACCAATGAGATTGACGGACCAGATCAAGGCCGCAACCAAGTGTTCGGTTAAAGGTAGCCTTTCGAACTAAGCGTCACAGATGCAGCGTCTTTAGCTTTGATCTTAAAGGTAGCCTTTCGAAGCGAGTTAGTGACGCGGCGTTGGTGGCACAAGACAACACAGACAGACAAAGGTAAAGACGCTGCGTCTGTGACGCTTAGTTCGAAAGGCTACCTTAACGAAAGAGCCCGGAAAGCTGCACTCCGCGAGGAATGGCGCCGTATTGTGAGGAACATTACTCATAGTGATTCACAATGATGACCACGACCACTCTGACAAGAATGTACCGACCGACTGAGAAAAAGATGATTGGTTACTCAAAACACTTCTCCTTTCCGCCTTGATGTAAACCGGGCCTTAGAGTCGCATCACAAAATTATTAAGTAACTTGAAAAAATCGAATTGCCTAAGGTGGGAATCGAACCCATCTAGGTAGAACGAGAAATAGTTCGCATTTATCTGTATTAATTGGGATCAGATAGGAAGTGTGGCTTCCGAAGCCAATTGTTTGACCCGACTAATGGCACCACAGGTCAGGGAGATCAGCCAGTGCGTTTACAAGTTTAAGACTATGGATGGATAATCCGACCAAAAAATTCATAGAAAATGTTGCCAAGAACCGTATGGCTCACACTGTGAAAAAATTATCAAATCTCACGTAGAGCCAAGCTCCTAACTCTACACGTCCTAACTCTACGCCTTATTCAAAACATAATGGCTGTTGCCGTTTCCCAAACCACTCTCTACATAATAAGATGTTAAATACCATAAAATTTGTGTAAAAACTTTCTGAAACAGAGATTGAGCCTTTTACCCACAACGGAGAAGCTCTTGGCCTACATCTCCCCTGATGGAAAGTGATGATCAGACCGAAGGTGAAAGCGAGCTTCACCCGGCATCCAGTTTCAGTCAGTTCAGTGGCGTTCTGTTCTTCAAACCGCCGAAACAAGACAGGCTTCAAGACAATGAAAGTTTTCAAGATTTCCAAATTCTATTAGTTCGGGCTTAATCAATATGGACTGGCTGTTCTCCCAGATACTGAAGCATTAACTAGGGTGTTACTAACTACGTCTTAACTCCTTACAAGTTGTGTCGTGTGGGATGTGGATTATATGGGTTGATTTAAGCTTTGTACATTTGGTTTGCACCTGCTAAGTAAGATTGAGGGCGAAAGCTGTTGTGGGTCGTGGCTTATGCCGAAATCGAGTTTAGACCCTTTTATTACGTCACATACCTATCATATGTTGTGATACGGTACTACTGCCTTAGGGACGATACGCATTGAACGGCGCGCGTCGGAGCGCGGCGGAGCGCACTTATACAGCCGTAAAGAAAATTTTATTTTATCAACAGTTCTTAGAGTCGTAATTGCTTACAGCTGATTAACTTACATTTCAATCCGGACGGATGCGTGAGCATGCGTCGGTAGCCGGTCGGCTCCGAGCGAGTTCCAGCGGATACGGGCGCAGACGCGCCATTTCCACCGCATTTTTGGCCGAACGGACGCTGCGCTGTGCGCCGCGCCGACTTGCGCCGGTCAATGTGAATCCTGCCTTTGAATTTATTTTGTGTGTCTCAATAGACATGTTGACACCACCAATCAATTGACGTACTTTTTAAAACTGTCAAAACGAAACTCTCCCATAGATTTTGTATGGCACTACAAGCAAGTGACGTCACTATTTTGTCAACTCAATTTAACTACTTTTTTCAAATTACAATGCGATCAAAAATCGTAATTTACAGGTAATTTAAAATCAATTAAGTTTTTAAGACCAGAATGAAGGGTCTTTTTAAAAAAGTTGTGGTTTAGAATTATTGGGGTATGGTGTCAAACTGTCTATTATAGTCAGGTCGTTTGGTTTCCACTGTAGTTATCTCGTACGTAACATATTATTATATGTTATGCGATACTTACTGCTACCTTACTTTTTCTTTAAATCACGTCTATTTCTTTTAGTCGTCAATATCAGATCATTTGTGGTCTCCACTGCAGGATCAAGATTCTTTTTAATGAAATGGAGGATTTGTTCCTACACTCCTTACGCTGGCTAAACGGGTTTAAGAAGTCCGATGTTCGCATAATTTGTCCCTTAGGCCCGGAACAGACGGTGAAACGCAACTGCAACGAAACTTTGGAAGTTTCAAAATGGTCGCGTCATGTGTGGTCTCTCAACGGACGCTATGGCAGAAACTTAGATGCAACTCAAAAGTAACTAGCAGTTGCATTTCACCGTCTGTTCTGGGCCTTAGTCACCTTCTTTTGTAGACGACCAAGTCTGCCAATACTGTTTGTATTTTCATTTCTAAAACTTCTAAGACCTTTTTTCTCTTCAGGCAAATTGAGGGCGTAGCATATTGTGACCCGTAGGCACTTAAACATCAAATTAAATGGAAATCATTTGTCGCCTGCGCATACATCCACATTAAGTGATATGGCAACATTAAAAGCTATATTCATCTTGGTAGATCAATCAGTCGTGAGCTTAAAGCTTGACATCACATTAAGAGGGGTTCCGTACATGTGCGTACATTTGCGTCTGTACACAAGATGGTACGTCAAGCTAAGTGTACTTTATGTATTAAGCAATAGAAGAGATTTTGCAACAAACATAATGTTCTGTCGGCTGTAGGTACATGTATAATTTCCACGCCACCTTCCCCAAATTAAATGAGGGTATTAAACTATTTAGCATTTTAAGAAGAACAGCGTCTGGATTTCAGACTAGACCAGGTATTTGACAACAGTGTTGTTTACAAACTAACTTGATTTTTTAATCGATATAGGTATGCAAATTCGTTGGTATTATGAAAGTAGGCCCTTTTTAGAGAACAAATACACGTCTCAAATGTAGTTTGCTCTACCTCTAAAGAAAGTCACTTTTCTGGCTTTAGCATAGAGATAGTTTGAGTCCCGGGAAAGGACATAGGGTAGTTTTTGAAACAGGGACGCCGCGATAAAGTTTTTCTGTGACAGACAAAATTCCACGCGGGTGAAGCAGTGGCCACCCTAAGTATACTATACATATACCTTCCTACCTACAAGGTACAAGTAGTACGAGCTAGGTAGAAATTGATGGCACCATCGACTTATGGATCTAGTTTCACTTGAGATTTAAGACGGCTAGGTCACAAATTCTCACTCCTCTTTTTTAGGATCTACCTCATAATATGTCATAAAACAAAACCCATAACGTCTGTTTTCCATTGTTACAGCGGTCCCGGTCGCCCAGTGGATCAGCGCAAAGGCAGCTGGATGAAGCGGACCTTTTCATGGACCTCATCAAAGATGTGGCCAATGAGTTGGACATCGATGTGCTGTGCCATAAGGTGAGTTGTGCCATTTGCAACCTTAAAGAACATTGTGAATTTGATGATACCGACTTACATACCTCTAGCATGAACAACTTTCGTCTTCGAATCGTTTGCGTATTCGACAAAATTCGATACCTTCGAATTAAACAATAACGTGACAATTTTGATAATTAAGTTTCGTGCAACCATTTTTCATACTAAGTTCACTTTACGACACGTTCACAAGGGCGCTGTTGTAGTTTTCGTACTAAATCTTTTGATGGCGATTCGAATACACAAACGATTCGAACTCGAAAGTTTTTCGTGCTAACAACTTAGCAGACGTATTCTGGAAAAGATGGAAAAACTACCATGACACGGAAAAAATGGAACTCAGAGCAGGCGCCGTTGCAGGTGGGTGACTTTGTATTAGTTGTGGACCCAAGTCTTACTCGAATTACATGGCCAATGGTCCTTTCCAAAGTCAATATGTTGGACATCGGTTGTAGATACCCAACGTTCAAGCTAGATGTTGCCAAGTACCTAATGTATGTAGATAATTAGGTAAAGCCTTTTCAGTAGGTATTTAAAAACTGTGTGAAAGACGTCCACTGCTGGACAAAGACCTCCCCCTAGCTCCCCCTCCCCAAAAGCTTAAAGACAATATTTACTCGTAATTCTACGGTTCTATTAATATAACACATAAGTATTGTAGAAAAATCTTCATGCAACTTTTGCAGTCCTTAATAAAAGTACTTTCTCAAAGATGTATGACGAAATGTGTAGTTTTTTTAGATGCAAGTTAAATATATTTTTTAATTTCACAATAAGAACAACTAATTATAAACTACGAGTTACGAATGATTATTTAAATACGAGTTAACCCAAAATACTAATCCCTAATCGAAAGAGGCGTAGAAGCGTACCTACTCAAATATACTTAATTATGATCAAAATGTTAGCCTTTGAAGTTATAATCAAAACCGCGAGTTATCCCGAAAGTTAGAGCGCAAAATAGTTGGCGAGGTTAAATAGCCAACTATTATTAGTTTTATGATACACAGACACGCAAATGTAAATTGTTTTTCTGTATTCAAACATAGTAAAGGATTCACACTCGTGGATTTCTGTCTGACACCCAAAGACTAACTCCCGTAGTCACATTGCTTGCATAAGTGAAGCAGCAAATCGAATGCACAGCGTTGAATAGAGCTCTGTAATTGGTTTGTGTGTGACCCTGTACATCCACGCGCACTGTGAGACCTCAAAGTAATATTTGTGAATACGGGCCTATATTATGTGCCCTGCCCATTGCCCCTTCAGCTTGCTAATCCGTCCGACTATGTCAGCGACTTTAGTTCGTATACGGATCTCCTCATTTCTGATTCGATCTCGTAAAGCTGGATGCCGCTACCAACCGTGCGATGTGGAAGTCATTGGGGGAGGCCTATGTTCAGCAGTGGACGTCCTCTTGCTGAAATGATGATGATGACAGAAAGACACCGAGGCCCTCTTTCAGGTGGAAACAATCTTAAGTATTAATTATCTTAGATAAGTGTTTGTTAGGCAGCAAAAGGCAAGTATTAAACCAGAATCACACCTTAAAAGCAGAAAGTCGGACCCTTTGTTTGATGTTTTAGCAGATTTGTATCTTATGGTAATAGTTAGTTGATGTGTTATCAACTATCCTACTAATTAATTTCTTTCATGTAACTAACTAGGTACTTCTCAATTTAAAGAGATTTAGGCTGAGTTGCACCACCTAAATTTGACCGTAACGATAACTCGTTAATGATAACTGGTGTTTTTAGTATGGATTTTGACAGATTTTTGACGTTTGTCAAAGTTAAAGTAAGATGGTGCAACCCAGCCTTTCGCGTACCGTTTATCGTTCACACATTAAAATCCACACTCTGTATTATTTCATCGGGCTTTTCAAATCTGAAAGCCTAAACAAATATAACCACTCTGATTCCGCGACCGTCATTACAAAACCCGAACAAATGTCCCGTTTTACAGAACTCCATTAATCCCGGAAATAACACACATTAACGGGACAGCCGGGAATCGGGGATGTCCCAATTTCACGCTTCGGGCGCGCGTTTTAATCGGTTTGGAAACGACACACAAATGAGGGTGAAATGAACGAGGTTTTGGCATCAGGTTTTTCCCAAATTTCCACCATACATTTTCATGAGACATTGAAGAGTATTCACACAACGGAATAAAATCGGACAGGTAAATGCTCACTTGTATGTTGAGTTCTCGGAACTATTATCTTACATATAATTTTATCTTTGCAAGATTATGCTTTCCAGTGTCCATCAGAATATTCTTTTCTTTCAAAATCGTTTTTAATGCAACAAAATAAGAAGCATGCTTAGTTAGTGTGTCGTTGCCGTACTTTCGTAACATTGTTCTTTGTAGGAAAGAATGCTAGAGGTTAGTTAAATACTGTAATACCGGAAGCGACGCCACACTGCTCGTGTGCCCGCCACAGATATATCTATGTAAAACGACGCAGCGAACGAATCGTGTGCTTTGGTTCTATAGGTGTGTCCAAACACAATGTGCAAGGTGGGCGGCAGCTACGCGAGGCATTCATAGGACACAAGTTTGCCGCGCAACTACACACACCGGCATATTTAGAGGAACGAAAAAAAAAGCATCAATATAATTTTTTAGGTAAAAAATGGCTCACAGTGCTTGCTTAATACAGGTATTATCTAAACCATTCGTATATACCGAAGATGCAGTGGCTGGCGAGATCCTCAGACATGAATCCTATAGAGCAAATCTAGACTTTTACGGGTAGAATAGACCTTAATAGACAAACCTTTAAGTCTGAAACCTGCGCAACCCGTAATTTCAAAACCAAAACAAATGTCCCATTAAAAATCCCATTAATCCCGGAAATAACACACATTACGGGACAGCCCGGGACCGGGGCAGTCCCAATTACACGCTCCGTACTACCGTGCTAATCGGTTTTGGCAGAGTTAACTCCACAATCACGGGAGCGGTAAAAATGAGGTTGTGTCAATTTTTATTTTAACCAAGGCAATATTTAACTGCCGTAAATAATTACAACCATTGAGGCCATTGGTTGTTCTTGGGCGGACTTATCTTCTTCCTTTTGCTCAATAAGCATCCGCAGAATATGGTTCTGGTACACTTGAGCGAAAGACACTAGCGCAAAAGACATTAGCGCGAAGGCACTAGCGCGAAAAGCCTTCGCGCTAGTGTCTTTCGCGCTCATGTCTTTTCGCGCAAGTGTCCATGCGCGCAATGTGCTTCGCGCTAGTGTCTTTTCGCGCTAGTGTCTTCGCGCTAATGTGTTTCGCTCTAGTGTCTTTCGCGCAAGTGTCCCGATACGGCAGAATACCAGTGGTCGTGACGCGCGCTCTCTGCTGCCTTAGGTACTCGTATATTGAGCAGACGCCATTTTGGTGCTTGTACTCTGTTTTTCTTTCCCCGTAGACCTTCAGAGTTAGTTGGCCAATTTAATCGGGATATGATCAGTAACATGTCACACATGTATGCAATACATCACAGTATTGTATGTATGTATGTGCGCACAATATTACACCGATTCTGTATCGGTGAGTCCCCATACAAATTAGAAGCAAAAGAGATGAAATGGTATCAAAATATCTTGCAATATTTAGACCCTTTCTGTAATACAGAATTTAGTAATCTGCAAGCAGAGTTTTATAAAAATTCTTGTTCGACTTAGTAGCAAAGTTTTTTCCAATCTTCTGACGTGGTGACCAACTTTAACAGCAATGTCTTTCTAGTTGCCAATGTCGCATAAACGTAACAAAGTAACTAAATCCAAAGTTGTATCATCTTTTATCTGTCAGATAAAGTAACAAAGCATTTTCCATCCAACTGTAACAGTTAATTTAACTCCGCTCGTAAGGATTGCAACTCAAGTCGGGCGTTAAACAAAACAATTTAAAGTTTACGGCTCAAAATAAAAGTCAATTTGGATTTCCAGCGCGGTGATCGTTAACCTGTAAAGGAATATTATTTGCATTTAGAGACTTTGTTGTAAAAATGATGTTTGTAAAAATAAGAGGTTTATGATTTTAGAACAGTATCTGAGGTTTTCTAAAAAAATTGTATGAAAATTTATAAATTTATTGATAAATTAAAGACACTATACCAACCGGGCGATAAGAAAATCATTGGGTGAGGCCTATGTTCAGCAGTGATCGTCCTGTGGCTGAAATTATGATGATGATGATGATTCAAGACACTTTCTGTCTATTATTATCTTTGAACACTTAAACAGAACTGATTTCCATTTTTGGTATAGAGACACGGGATTATTTTACCTCTCGTTCTCGCCACTAGCCAGGATCTACAGCTTGGCTGCCAATAAAAACCTCACCAAAGAAGGTGATAGTTTGAGAACCAGGGAAAAGTTGTCTTGGTTTTTGAAAATGAGACACGCACGCGATTAAATATTTCTATGAAAGTCCGAGATTCAAACCGCAGGAACTGCGAACCAAACAAATCAAAAGCATTAGATAGCAAATCACAAAACGGCGATAAAAGGTTGCAAAAATCTTCCTTTCATCGACATTTTCCCTAGAAATCCCGATAGAGCTAGTAACGGCACGATGGGGACCATTTCCGATGGGAAGCCATGCGCCCCCATAAATAGAGGGTGCCAAAACTAGGTGAAGTGTGAGAAACTTCTGATATAGTTTCGGAGCGGGAGCCAAAAGAGATTTATGATTTACGACACATTGGAAAAGATTTTGCTGGATATTTGAGTTATTTTCACACATTATTAAAAGAATTAGTAAATTAATTATTGCATGAAAAAAATATTAGCTCAGTAGCATTAGAAAGAAAGAAAGAAAAATATTTTTATTTAGTCCAAACATCCTTAGACTACTTAGGTACAACAACATAATTAGGTACTTATTTATGTAGTTACAATAGATAGGTAGGTACACCTAGAAGTGACTTGGAGAAGGAATGCTTCAACCACACCAACGCGTGCAGATCACTATCGCCGGCGC